ATTGATTAAGTTTCTTTTTCCTATGAATATATAGTCATTCATAGAAAACACAAACACTGGATGTTGTGCTTCAGCACAAGTTACAACCCAAAATACAGCACTGGGTGTTATAGCTCAGCACAAGTTATACCCTAAACACAAAGAGGCTTAGAGACATTATTTTCACAGCTTACAGGGCACTTTCATATACATCATCTCGATCATTCTTACAATCTTGTGAGTTAAGGACTCGCAACATGAGAGGGTTAACATCGTGGAAACAAAAGAAGAGAGAGACTAAGATGCCCAACAGCAATCTTTTCTCTACTCCAAAAACAGTTAATTCTGGATGATCTAAATCAATCTCATTTGAGAGTTTATGAGTTTATGTTTGTGGATACTGTGTCTTCTAGCTTTGCTTTATTTGACAATAATAACATGACATTTCCTCAAGAACCTGAATTTAACAGCTCAACAGTTTTCTCCACTACTTCATCCCTAACACAAAGTTCTTTTTGCCTAACTTTTTATTTTGAAAAATTTCAAACCTGCAGAACAGCTTCAAAACTAGTGTGATGAAGATATCCCTCATCTAGATTCACCAATCACCAACATTTTGGTGTATTTGCTTTATATACATACACAAACGTGTATATGTGCATGTATAAAGCAAATATTCATAATATCCTTAATATAACATATATTGTTATATTGAGTAATATACTAAATTTAACATATATAACATTTATTTTTATTATAAGTTATATATAAATAAGCATTACCATACATGCTTTAGATTATGTATATAAACATGGACCATTTGAAAGTTAGTAGCAAGCATCATGACAATTAAGTCACAGATGCTTCAACATGAATCTCCCAAAAACAAAAACATTCTCTCATATATGCATAATTATCACACTCAGGAAACTGAACATTGATACAATATCGTTACCTGTTATATAGTCCATTTTCAAATTTCCCCAATGGCCCAAGAAATGTCCTTTATGGCTATTTCCCTCATCTAGAATAAGATCCAGATGACACTCTACATTTAGATGTCATATCTCTTCAATCTCCTTTAAACAGCTCTCCTAGCCTTTCTGGTCTATAATGACTGATATTTCTTAAGAGAATAAGGCCTCATTTGGGGATTTATCCAATTGCTTCCTCATGATTCAATTCAGGTGGAACACAGTGGGGATGAATGGAAAGTGATGGGCAGAGAATAAGTCAATGGTTAGATGATGTCAATTTGTTCCTCTACTGATGATGTTAAATTGTTTAAATTTAGCCAGGCACAATGGCTTACACCTACAATCCCAGCACTTTGGGAGGCTGAGGCAGGAGGATCCCTTGAGAAAAGGAGTTTGCAACCAGCCTGGGCAACATAGGGAGACCCTGTCTCTACCAAAAATTTAAAAATTAGCCCTGAGTGATGACGCCAGTAGCCCTGGCTACTTAGGATGCTGAGATATGAAGATGACCTAGGCCTAAGAGGTCAAGGCTGCAGTGAGCTGTGACTGTGCAACTCCAGACGGAGCAACAGAGTAAGACTGTCTCAACAAACAAAAAATTTGTTTGAATTTTATCACTTAAAGTATTCTCCATAGTAAAGGTGCCTTTCATCTTTGTAACTAAGTAGTCCAAGGGTGACACATGGAGAATATTCTATTCCTCAACAATCTTTCACTCACTGATTTTAGCACCTGCTGGCCATTCTCACTTATTAATTACTAAGGCAATTGTAAAACAGTGGTTCTTTCTCCCATCATCCTTCTACATTTCTTGACTGGCACTCTTCAAAAGTATTTCATGACAGAAAGAAAAAAAAAATAACAAACCAGGACCACATATACGAGAGGGTTAGAGAGAAGTTCCCTGGAGAGAACTAAGCCCTAAAGAGGAAGAACACACGCCCAAGTGAGGTCTGAAGCCAGGGCTAAATACACACAGCTCTGCGTTGGCTGCTATGAAGATATTTTCCCTATGGTTGATCTGGTTCAAAGGAATTCTTCCATTCTATTGTGTAAGCTGTTCATGTTTACCACACTCTTTTTCCCAAGATGATGATGGGATACTGGCACAGGATCTAAAGGAACTACACTTTCAGGCTTCATACAATAACGTCTGACTTCCTCCCTGGAATAGAGAGGAGGCAACTGAAAACATCACACTGAGAATATTGGACCTGACTGAAAACCCCAGGAGATCAATTCTAAAGTATGTTTGGCTCTGAAACTTTTAAAACTGTATCTACCAAACACCTCAAAATTATACTGTTTCATTCCTCATTTTACATGACTTCAGTTCAAAGAAGGAAATGGTATTTTTTTTCATCCCTATCTTGCTTATGGAGAGATACCCTGAGCCTTTAACACTGTATAACTTTACAAACTTAGGCAAATTGTCAAGGGATTAATCACTGTAACGCCATGTTCATGCCAGGCCAAGGTGCTGCCAAGGTACAGCCCTACCTCTTGAGTTCCATCCTACCAAAAATGTTGGCAAATAAATTCAAGATAATATTTACTTTAGTTTAATTCAACAATCATAATATAAACTGTGAATACTCTACCACCCTTGGACATCATTCTTAAGTGTTTACCTTTATGCCTTCAAAACTGTCCCAGAAAAAGTCAAAACCAATGCATGCATATCACATACACACTACATATTAGTAGAAATGCATTAGGAAATAATTGTCATATAGAGCACTTAAAGTTATAAAATTCTAACTTAGAATGAGTCAGAGAGAGCTAGTCAAATCTCCTACCCAATGCTAGGCTAACTTCTTCAGTGTCTGAAATAGCATTGCCATCTCCATTTAAATGCCACTGGGGAAAGACAGCCCACAACACATGACAATTCACTCCATTAATTGACAATAGCACATTAGACAGCCTAGAGATAAATGTGTTTTGCATGTAAACTCACTAGTATATCAAAAAACAGTGATAGAAAATGCAAGTTCCTTTCAATACTAAGCTTTTCTAAAACTTTGAAAGTAAAATTATCAAATTTGATATACCAATATTAAGCAAGTTAACAAGTAATGTATGTAAAAATGCATTTTCAGGCCAAGGAATATGGGGATTTCTCCCATTGTTGTTGTTGTTTTGAGTGAGAGTCTCTCTCTATCACCCAGGCTGGAATACAGTGGCGCCATCTTGGCTCACCACAACCTCCACCTCCCATGTTCAAACAATTCTCCTGCCTCAGCCTGCCAAGTAGCTGGGATTACAGGAGCCGACCACCACGCCTGGCTCATTTTGTGTTTTTAATAGACACGGGGTTTCACCACATTGGCCTGGCTGGTCTCGAACTCCTGACCTCAGGTGATTCGCCCACCTCAGCCTCCAAAGTGCTAGAATGACAGGCATGAGCAATGGCACCCAGCCAAGATTTCTCCCATTGTATATCTTGCCCTGAAACACATCTATTTCAATGCCAATAAGTCAAAACTCTACTGTCTGTGTCTTCCAAGAAAGAGACCCAAGAGTCTTCATTTCCTTCTCTCCTCCATACTTGGTTTGCATACTTGGGTTCACTTGATTAAAAATCTCTGTATTCTCTTGATCTACTCAGAATCCAGAATAAGTGGCCATGGCAAGTGATAAATATAGAGACATACAAATTGCAGAAATAGTCAATGATTTTGAGCCTGGGTGATTAGAATAAGTGTACTATAAAAGCCAGAAAAGGAAATGAGACTTAATCTGGTTGGGAGAGACAGAGTTTGGGTTTGGAAATCTGCAGTTTAGGATGGTGCAAAAATATTCAGTGCCTGGGTAGGGAATCCAGAATAGAAACCTATTTGAGTTACCAGTAGAGAGAGCAGTTGAAAATATGACAGATCAATATCCTACGGAAAAGGGAAATGAGAGAAAGAACAGCAACAAAGACATCAATTTATACCCCTTTCGAGTATTCCCACCTTGTATATGTCTTTATTTCCTAATTTTCCTCAAGTGAATACTCTCATCTTCCTAATAAGTTCTGTAGGATAAAGAATCAAGGGTCTCATATATTTTCTCATAGGCTGCTGGGGGCATGGAAGATACTCAATAAAATCATTTTGGCTGCTTCTAACAACCAGCCAGAATTTTTTTTTTTAATATCTCATATCCGTGGGATTTTATCAATGCTTAACACTTGCCCTGGACAATGAAGACTGCCTTCTACACGTGGCCTGGAGAGTCACATATACTATCCCTTTGAGGTCGACATCAAAGGATATCTTTATATTAAATCCATGCAACTATTAAAAATACAGCAACTGCCAAGATCCTCACTGTTCTAGATCCTACTTTGCACATAGTCAAATCTGTGCTTTGTGTCATTTTGGGGCACTCCAGTATATTTGCAAATACAAGTACTTCAGATTTCATAATTTTCTTTCAATTTTGGCAAATAGACTAAACTACTTAAACTGGCAACAATATAATTTGAGGATAATTGCTACTTACTTCATATCTGTACAGAGAACTGCCTATTCTTAGAATTCTTTATCATCAACTTTATTTATACACTGAAAATATTATCAAAAAGCTCACTAAGTCTTTTATGTCATGAGAGCCCTGAGCTCAAGTCATCCTGGCCTTCCATAAATCCCCACCACTTAGTCCTTCTTTCTGAATTTACCATTGTTATTTCCCATGCTTGGAACTCTTCTTCTCCCTGCCTTGCTCCCTTCTATCCAAATTATCCAAATTCTTCCTTCTCCTTCATGCTGGCATCTCCAACTTTATCAATCTATAGTTCCTCTTCTCTGAATTCTGATGATCACATATCATCAGAATACACACACACACACACATACACACACACACACACACACACACATACACACAGACATAATCTCCAACCAATATATACATAAAATCTTCAACATATATATATGTATATATAATCTACAATTGGTTGTATATGTCTATCTCCAACCAATCTAACATTTAGGTTTAAGTGTTCTTATGTTATTTAGTATATATTTCAGGTAAGTTCTTTTTAAAAAATTTTTCTCTTCTAGAATGTACCAGTAAGTTCTTTGAGGCCAGTCTTCATGGGTGATATGTGTGTTTGTTTGCTGGCACCAATCTATGACATTTTATGCATACAGAAGGTAGACAATATTTATAAATGACTGAAATACCTCTTGGTATTTGTAGAATTTCATAGAATTCCTTATCCACTTGGCCATTGAGAAAAGCTTTTAAATCATAATATTGCATACTAGACCAACTTAAATTCATTGTACTCATAACCCAATCCTTCAGGGAAGGTCCTATTTGGATTAAAAATGAAGGAGTAAAAGGAGATAAAGCTTTTAGCATACTGATGGAACTATTACTAATACTGTATTACTGTTCTTTATAATTTAAGCAACATCACTAATGAAGATTAGGGAAAAGATCAATTAGTTATGAGTTACTAATGCAGGAATGAAAAGAAGTCCAATATCAAAGTCATCAAAGCTAATAATATCTTCTCCTCCACCTGCTGACCCATTATAATCAGGCCTGGGTCTTTTTTCCTTAGGAGAAGTGATAAATGCTCATAGAGTGGCAGTTTTTCCCTGAGCTGTCAAAATACCCTAACACAATGAGACCAACCACTTCGGGCTCAGTAGAATCACTCTTTAACAAGTTAGGCAGAACCCACCACCCAAACTGATTTGAACATCAGGATTCAGAGTTTCAAAGAGGATGGGGAATGTAGAGTCTGGAAAAGAGCAATAAAAATGATCAGAAACAAACAGTCCAAAAGAAATAAAAACAAGGCTGAGTACAGTGGGTCATATCTGGAATCCCAGCGCTTTGGGAGGCTGAAGTGGGAGGATTGCTTGAAGGCCAGGACTTTGAGACCAGTCTGGGCAACATAGCGAGACCCCATCTCCACCAAAAATATATGTTTTAAAAGTTAGCCAGGCATGGTGGCATACACCTGTAGTCCCCACTACTCAGGAGACAGAGCAGGAGGACGTTTGAGCCCAGGAGTCTGAGGCTGCAGTGAGCTATGATCACAGGACTGTGCTCCAGCCTGTGAAGCAGAGCAAGACCACATCTCTAAAAAAGAAAAAAGAAATTAAAACAGCACAGCCTGCATCAGTCTCCCTGATGTGTAGAGTTGAGGGGTGACAGGGCAAGGCAGCACAAAGACAGATCAGGAAGGAAATATCTCAAAAACAAGCCATAAGGAACAGTCCTGAGGTGGAAAAGAAGAGACAGAATTGCACTGACACACACACAGCCACTGTGCACATGCATTAGGTTGAAGCTATATTTGCTCATCACCAAGGGGTCCCATCACATTGAAATGAAACCAGGAGCTCCTTTTTACATCATGACTCCTATGAAAGGGATGTTTCATGTTTAAAAGTCTTACAAACAACTGTTTTAAATTGGGGGTTGGGGAGAAGAAATGAGAAGTTGCAGAGGGAACCGCTTAATGAACTGGGCTATTTAAGGCTTCCCTTGAAATCTTCTAGCATCATTCTTGCCTTTTTCCTGCTAAATAAAGCCTCAAAGTAGGAGAAATGCAAAGGTTGAAGAAGTAGAAACCATTACTGTAGAAAAAACAAAGGTGGATCTGGCAAATGCGATGAATTTAGAGGGAATGTAAGTTTTGTTTCCTAGCCATCAAAAATAGTTTGATGGATTTGTCCCAAAATGAGAAATAAAAGCGCACTCGTTCCTCCCTGCACCCTACAGAGCTGCCTTTGAAGTCACATGCGCTCCACAGGGCATGAATAAAAACAGAACTCAGGCTCATTTAAAATTTTATTGTATATGGTTTAGTATAAGACAGTGTCCTTCAGACATTGACAAAAAAGTCATTTTCAGCACCTTCTTAGGTACGCTGAACTTTTCTTTTATGTCCTGGAATTTAAATCCATGCTTCCCTTTGGTTATACCTTCTGGTCCCAGAGACAGCCTTGGGGACTTGGCCCAGGTGCCTGGATCTGGTTCAGGAGCTGCCTGGATGGATGGCTTGTAGGGACTGAAGCTGACTCTCCGCAGCCACCTGGCAAACGTTGGCCAGCTTTGCAGCCTTCTGGTCTCCCCTGACCAGCTCCCTGGGAGGCCTCAGGCCCTTCTCCACTCTCCATTCTGCCTTCCCAGGCCTACGGGATGAAGTGCAGCTGTCCTGCTACCCCCCATAGAAGGGAAGAAAAATATCGTATTTGGAATAATAACAACTACACTGATGGTGTTTCAAAACCAATCCATCTTCAAAATCAGGGACTTCTTTGGTAAACCTCATCACAGCCTGAACTATAGAAATGTTTATATTGTTTGCTTTGCTTGGTTTTCTACCTAGATACTGAACTTAGAGTGTGGACCCCTCTCAAGCCAGTGTCACATAACTAGGAGCTAAAAGATCAGAGAGAGAGAAACAAAAGAATTTTACATTTTCAAATGCATTAGTTCACCCAGTATGTGGACTCTAAAGAGGGAAAAAATTTAAATAGGAGATTTTCAGGATGAGAGATTTAGGCATAGAATATTAGCTTATAGCATCTTTTCTTCTGGGAGTGAAGATACAACTAAAAGGAATCATAAAGACCAACTAACCCAATTATTTAACGAGGAGGAAACTGCCGCCCAAAAATTAATGGCTCAGATTAAGAGTGTCAAAGAGACACACAAGCCAATTAGAAGTCTCCATTGGCCAAAGATGGGACAATAAGAATACCTAAAAGTATGACTGCAACTGATTCAAATATACTCAAATGCACCATGGGTTTGTAATGAGTTGACAAGATGTTCCTTCCATTCATTTCCCTGTTCCCCAAAAAGTAGAGAACTGATGGAGGCTGCTAGGGCTCCAATTCATTATTCAGAAAATTCATCAACAACAGAAAAAAATGAAGAATGAATCTTTCTTTTTCTTTTCTAACTATATTTCAAGATACCAAATAAGTAATGATGAAAAATTGATCCCTATTAAAGAATTTCAACTAATAAATGCAGAAAGAATGGTGGAATTTCAAAAAATTCCATTTTGTGACTTCTAGAAAAGATCATTGCAAAAACCATTACTTAAAATAATGTGTGGTTGATGAGGAACCTTATAAATGATGGACCAGGTATACAGCTAAATCTTCAGACCAATCTTAACTCACTAAAGTTGGGACAAACAGATACTATGTCTCTCCTAATAAGATGCATTAGAAAGTACATAGCATCAGCTATAAAGTGATCTTGCCAGAAAAAAAAAAAAAAAAGAAAATCTGAGCCAGAATATAATCAGACCTGTTGATCTACGGTATGAGTTTATATGAAATATGGGGATAGAGGGACAAGTTAAATGACACTACAAGGAAGCAATGAGCCCAACCCAGAATGTGGGACATGCTAGAAGGCAAAAACCTGCTGTCTCCAACAAATAAAGAGAATTAAAAGGGGGAAAGGAGTAGAAGGGGACTGTTATAAACTTAGAAAATTTAAGAGACAAAGCTGCCAATCCAATAAGTGTACTTCATTTGGCTCTTAATTTGAGCAACTACTAAAACGAAACAAAACAAAAAACTTTGCAATTTGTAATTGAAAGAGATAAGCAATAAAATGTGAGCATGAACTATGTTAAAAGCAATTGAGAAATTATTATTAATGTTTTGCAATATTTATGTTATGGGTATTTATACATACAATTAAGTACTTATTTGTTAGGAATGCATACTAAAATACTTTGGCATAGAAATTTTATAAAAAGAAAGTTAATGACTCAGTTAGGATTAGACTCTGCTCTTATGGTACCCAGCACATACTCATTTCATTATAACCAAATTCAAAGGAAACATAAAGAGTAAATTTTTTTAAGTTCTTAAAAAAGAGCAACACCAGTATCATTTGTGTTCTCTCTTCCCTCAAATAGTAAGGCCCATGAATGTTTGAAGACCATAGATAAGCTACATTTTCTTCCTCTTGAAATGAAAAAAAAACTGTTATAAACAAGATTATATAATAATCTTATAGATTACAGTAGTTACAGTGGGATTTTGTGCATTGAGTCAGTTCATCTAAATGTAAATAAGGAGAAGAAGCTCCCTAGACCAAAAATATCACACACACCCCCAAGAGTGTTTCAAATTCTCATGTACACATGTGATATAGAAGGAATGACACACTGAGCCACATAACCTTGATTAGTATATCAGATAAAATTTAGTCTAAAGAGATAACACACAGGACAATGAAGAATCCATAAACATACAGAGCTTAAAAATCCACAATTCAGTTCCTCAATCACTAAAGATATAAAAGAAATGGGTGTCTAGAAAAGAAATAGGTGTCAGAATGGAAAGGGCAAGAGAACAAAAGCAGAAAAGGGAAGAAGAACAAAAGAACATCATCAACACCTTTTCCAAATCTCAATTTATCCCATAATTGTTAAAACACATTTTTTAAAAGTGTGACAAAAGTGAAAACGTACTCAAAGCATAAAAATATAACATTAAAAAAAAAAACAGAAAAGATGGTCCTCAAACTCTCTTGAATCTCTACCTTCAACGAACAGCATGAAAAAAAGACACTCAGGGTTTAAAGTTGTCAGTGGGCTAAGAGCTGAATATTATATAAGCCACATGCATATTAACTAGAAACAACAAAATTTCAGGAACAACAGGTGCACAACTTTCAGTGTGTGGTTCCACATGTAAGCAGTTTGGAAGCGGCCACTCTAGAATTCTGTACCCTGCTAAATTATCCTTCAAAAGTGAAGGAGAAATAGCAACTTTCTCAGACAAACAAAAATTGAAGACGTTTGTTGCCAATACACTGCCTTGCAAGAAATATTAAAAGAAGCTCTTTAAAGAAAAAATGATGAAATTCAGGAACTTGGATCTATAAAAAGAAAGTACATCAAAAAAGCCATAAATAGAGGTAAAATTTTTAAAACTTGTTTAGTTTTTTTATTTGTTTGTTTGTTTTAGAAATGGAGTCTTGCTATGTTGCCCAGGCTCTGGCATCAAGCTCTTAGGCTCAAACCATCCTCCCACCTTAGCCTCTTAAGTAGCTAGGACTACAGGCATGTGCCACCATGCCTGGCTTCTTATTCTTAATTGACCTTACAGAAGTTTGTTCAAAATAATAATAGAAACCATGTATTCAATTACATATGCTTAAATAGGGATATTTTATGTCTGTATATATGTGTATATAGGGATCCATGTACACACACATTCATATATGCTTTTGTATAAGTGAAATGGATAACAAAAAGGAATGAGAGGAAGGAATTAGAAGAATTAGAATTATTTTATTGTAAGATACTCATACTACCCATGAAGTAGCATAGTGCTATTTGAAAGAGGATGTGAATTACCTGTATATTGCAAACCTCAGGGTAACCACTGAAAAGGAATATTTTAAAAAGCAGTATAACTGATATGCTAAGAAAGAAGAAAAATAGAATCATATAAAATGCTCAATTAAAACCATAAAAGTTAGAAACAGTGTAACACAGAGAAACAAAAATAACAAGGGCAAAAAAATTTAAAATAGTAATAAACATGGCAGATATTAATCCAATTATATCAATAATCACTTTGAACATCAGTGATCTAAATGCATCAACTGAAAGAAATTTTCTAAATGAATAAAAAAAACATGACCTAACTATATGTTGCCTACTAGAAACCCACTTTAAATACAAGGTCATATATAAACTTTAAGTACATAAATGGAGAAAAAGATATCATGATAACACTAATCAAAAGAAAGCAGGAGTAGCTATGTTCATTTCAAAACAGAGCAGACTTCAAAACAGGGAAAGTCAACTGGGACAAAGAAAGCCATTACATAATAATAAAGGGGTCAATTCTTCAAGATGATATAACAATCTTTAACATGTATGCACCTAACAACAGAGTATCAAACTACACACAGCGAAAACTAATAAAACTGCAAGTAGAAACAAATAGATTTACTCTAGTTGGAAATTTCAACACCCCTCTATCTGTGCTGGCCAAATCCAGCAGGCAGAAAATCAGTAAGGACATAGTTGAATTCAACACCACCATCAATCAACAGCATATCATTGACATATATAGACTACTTTACCAACAACAGCAGAATACATACCCTTTTCAAACCCACATGAAACATTCACCAAGACAGATCACATTAAATACCTCTACAAATTTAAAAGAATCATCCAATGTCCTCAATCAAATCACAATAAAATTTAACTAGAAGTCAATAACAAAAAGATAGCAAAATCCTGAAATGTATCGAGAATTAAATAACACACTTCTAAATAACACATGATTCAAAAAACAAATCTCAAGGTAAATTATAAAATATTTTGAACTGAATGAAAATGAAAATACAACTTGTGGAATGCCACAATACAAATTGTGGAGTGCCACAAACTCAGTGATCTGAAGGAAATTTATAACATTGAAAGCAGGTATTATAAAAGAAAAAAGATTGAAAATTAACAATCTAACTTTCCACTTTAGGAAACTGGAAAAAGAAGAGCCAGTTAAATACAAAGTCGGCAGGAAAAAAAAAAAAGGAATAATAAATATTAGAGCAGAAAACAATAAAATTGAAAAGCAGGGACTCCATAGAGGAAAAAAAAAAAAAAGTCAATGAAACCAAAAACTGGTCTTTTGAAAAGATCAATAAAATCAATAAGCCTCTAGCCAGGCTAAAAAATGAAAAGAGAGAGAACACAGATTACTAATATCAAAAATGAAAGAAGGGTCATTATTACAGATGCCACAGATATTAAAAGGACAATAAAAGAACACTATGAACAATTCTATGCTCATAAATTTATTAACCAAAATGAAATAGACCAATTCTTTGCAAGACACAATCTGCCAATACTCACCTGAGAGGAAATAGACAATCTGAAGAGGCCCATATCTTTTCAAGAAATTGAATCAATCATTAACAATCTTTGAAAACAGAAAAGCACAATTCTCTACAAACTCTTTCAGAGACTAAAAGCAGAAGAATACTTCCTAACTCATTCTTAGGGCCTCATTGCCCTAATGCCAAAACCAGATTGAAATAATGACCATGTCATATCCTCCACAGCTGAGTCCCAGTGGGTGTGTACTCTGCTCCCTGTGATAATTTTCTCTGTACAAATAAATAAATAAATAAATAG